GTGGTGGAGAAGAAAAAATCAATATTCACAATGGTGGTAGTGATATTTGGTGGTGGGTTTGTATCTTTTGTTGGTGGTGATCTAATTTTGGTGATGAGTTTGTTTATGGGTATCAAATTTTGTGGTGGATTTGATTGTAGGTGGTGAAATATATAGATTTTGTATTAATATGACAGCAATAGTAGTGATTTCATGGTGATGTTCATTGAAGAAGAAACAATTGAATGAGATAGGGAATTTTAGTCAAAATTTGATATGATATCTGATATGATAGTGACATGGGATTGATGTGGCGCAAATGTGATACACCTCCCATTGTGAGAGTGGTGTCACACGTCCCGGAAGTAACTGACTTTTTGGAATAAGTTCGGAAGTAAATTTATGTCTTTTCCCTTTTTTTAATTTAAAAAATGAATAAGATTTTTTTAAATAAAAAAACAGAAAAATAAAAGAAATAAAACACATGCATGTGAATCCTTGCAGGCTTGGATGTGGAAAAAAAGAGGGGTAAATCACATAAATATGCTATATTAAAGAAATATTTACCATCTATGGCAATATAATTTTTCTAACTAAATATAACAATTTTTTGGAATTATGAAAATGTACAGTTGCTTGCCTCTTTCTCTTCCCTTTTTCATCTTCCTTCGCTTTATTTTTATTCTTCTTCTTCTTTGTCTCTTTTTCTATCATTATTATCTTCCTCCTCCTTTTTTTTTTCTTTTTTTTTTTAATATTCTTCTTCTTCTTTGAAATTTTCATATAAATAACTATCTTCACATCAATTTTTGCCCATATGTTATTATTTTTACCCAAAAATACGAAGGAAAAGAAATGGAAAGATGAAAATTTGTACAAAATCATATTTTCAAGCAGAAATTTCAAATATGTAAAATTATAGCAACAAGAGTTCACTATTAATGGTCATTATAAAGCTTCAAATTTTGAATTCATTATTTGAATTTTACGAATTTGTGACTAGCTTGGATAGATTGTTCCTACAAATAATTGAAAATGTCGTTTGAAATGTATATCTCAATTTTAAGAGGGTTTGGTTAAGTTTATAATTGATTTTAGGAGAAATATTAGATTGAAACTTGAAAAAGGTGAAGTTTATGGAACTGTATGACAATCAGGGCCGGCTCTATGCTTATTTGAATAAGGCATTGGCCTTAGGCCCCCAATTTTAGGGAGCCTCAATTTTTTACCAATAATAAATTATGTGTTAATTTTTTATAGAAAAGATTGATTATTTATGATAATATATATATTTAAAAAATATATTTTTTTTTTATTCTCTTTAATCCCATTTAAATAGAAGAAATCAAGAAAAAATGTTTTATTTTCTTACACTCACTACACTAATATTTGCATTATTTTATTCTTTTACACTCTGTTCTTTAAATTTTTGATAAGTTAAGAGTAATATTCTATCAAAAATATGAATCAATAGTCGAAAAGTGTTGAGTGAATTGTAAATTCTTTTTCTATTTCTTCATAGATTTTCAAGCATTACAACAAGCATAGTAAAATGTGGGGTATACAAAATTATCAACTTCTTGAATCAAATTCTATGTTAACAATTCATATAATAATTGCCCGAGTAAGAAATGTTTTTCAACGTTGAATTGATAAAATCTTATCTAAAGCTAATAATTGTAAAAGAAATCGAATAAATCATTTATAAAAAAAATATTAAGTATACTTTGCATTTAAAACTGTAAGTTTTTTTTTAAAAAAAAAATTAATGCATATGAAGTTTATTTAGATTTTAGGCCTCTAGTTGAAATTTTTCTTTAGGCCTCCGATTGCGTTGAGCCTCCCCTGATGACAATTGTATTAAAGTTGTATTAGATATGTTTCATAATTGTATTAAAATCATGAACAATACATTTATCATACATAATACAAACTTCACTCTTTTTTAGTGGTATCAACCAAAATAATTTAAGTAACACACTCCTAATACATTTATAATATAGGAACAATACATTTGTAATACATATTGCAAACACCGCTTTTTTTCTTAATGATACAAATCAAATAATTTATAAGATATATATAATGCATGTTTTATTCATGAATAGTACATTTATAATACATATTGCACACTTCACTCCTTTCTTAGTGATACCAACAAGAATAATTTAGGTAACACACTAATAATACCTTTATAAGACACCCACATTACATTTTAATACATATTGCAACCGTCACTCATTTTCTTAGTGATAAATTAAAATAATTTATAAGACACATATAATATAAGTTTTATTCATAAGCAATCCATTAATAATACATATTGCAACCATCACTCATTTTCTTAGTGATACAAATCAAATAATTTATAAGACATATATAATATAAGTTTTATTCATGAACAATACATTTCTAATACATATTGCAAACTTTACTCTCTTCTTAGTAATACCAACCAAATGATTTACGTAACACACTTATAATACATGCACACTATATTTTTAATACATATTGCTAGTATCACTCATGTTTTTAGTGATACAAATCAAAATAATTTATACGATAAATATATTACATGTTTTATTCATGAATAATACAAGTTTAATTTAGTCTATAGATTATTATCTTGTTTTTCATTAGTAATGTTTTTTTTTTATTCTTAATTTTCTCTTCTAATTCAACTTTAATATTGTGTAATACACTTTTAATGCAAATTTAATTCATTTTGTAGTTTATTATTTGTTACAATTAGATTACTTGTTTAATTCATTACTGATATAAGTTTCATTCACTCTATAGATTAGTGTCTGGTGTTTCATTAGTTACATTTTTAATCCATGCTTAATTCTCTCTTCTAATTCAACTTTAATATTTGTGTAATACACTTTTAATACAAATTAATTCATTTTACAATTTATTGGTTGATTTGTTATGATTAAATTACTTGTTTAATTCATTATTGATACAAGTTTATTCAGTTTACAAATCTCAGAATGCTCTTTCGTTTGCAACATTTTGCATGCGTGCTTAATTCACTTCTAATTCAACTTTAATATGTCTGTAATACATTTTTAATTCAAGTTTAATTCATTTGGCAGTTTATTATGTTTCTTCATTTGTTACAATTAGATTATTTTCTGCTCTTTCGTTTGCGATTAGTTTGGATAGGTTGTTCCTACGAATAATTGAAAATATCGTTTGAAGTTTATACCTCAATTTCAAGAGGGTTTGGTTAAGTTTAGAATTGATTTTAGGAAAAATATTAGATTGAAGCTCGAAAAGGATGAAGTTTATGTAACTATATCGCGTTTGTATTAAAGTTGTATTAGATATGTTTCATAATTGTATTAAAATTGTATTAAAATCATGAATAATACATCCTACATTTATAATACATATTGCAAACTTCACTCCCTTTTTAATGATATCAACTAAAGTAATTTAGGTAACACTTATAATACATGCACAATACATTTTAATACATATTGCAAACTTCACTCACGTTCTTAGTGATACAAACCAAAAATAATTTATAAGACACATAATAATATATGTTTTATTCATGAATAATATAAGTTTAATTAAGTTTATAGATCATTGTCTTGTCTTTCATTAGTTACGTTTTTCATTCATTCTTGATTCTCTCTTCTAATTCAACTTTAATATTGTGTAATACAATTTTAATGCAAATTTATTTTGCAGTTTTTTGGTTGATTTGTTACTATTAGATTACTTGTTTAATTCATTATTGATACAAGTTTAATTCACTCTACATACCGTTGTCTGGTCTTTCATTAGTTACGTTTTTTATGCATGCTTAATTCTCTTTTCTAATTCAACTTTAATACTAGTGTAATACACTTTTAATACAAGTTAAATTCATTTTGCATTTTATTGGTTGATTTGTTACAATTTGATTACTTGTTTAATTCATTATTGATACAAGTTTTATTCAGTTTACAGATCATAGAATGCTCTTTCGTTTGCTATATTTTGCATCCGTGTTTAATTCTCATCTAATTCAACTTTAATATGTGTGTAATACATTTTTAATTCAAGTTTAATTCATTTTGCAGTTTATTATATCTCTTAATTTGTTACGATTAGATTATATGTCCAATTAATTATTGATACAAATTTTATCCCGTCTACGAATTATTGACTACTATACGAAAGAAAGTAGAGAGAGAAAGAAAGGGAGAAAGAACAATAGAAAGAGAGGGAGAAAGAGCAGCATAAGAAAGAAAGGAGAAAGAATAATGTACAGAAAGAAAGAAATGGAGAAAGAATAACGTACAAAAAGAAAGAAAGAAAGAAAGAAAGAAAGAAAGAAATGTAGAAAGAATAACAAAAAGAAAGAAGGAAAGAGATAAAGTGCGAGAAAGAGAGACAAATATGAAAAGGCTAGAGACAAAATAAAGAAAGAGGCGAGAAAAAAAGATAAATATAATAAAATACATAGTATTGTTAGATATTGTTATAAATGGTAATAATTAAAGAATATATTTAAAATAAGTAATTATTTTTTAAAAGGGATCCACTCAAGTAATTAATCCAAAAAAAAGAGAGTGGTCCAAACTAAAGGTTAAATTAAGCACTTTTTAATTTTTTTTCAAGTTATACATTAAAGTTGTCATGTGAATCCTTGCTGGCTTGCATGTGAAAAAAAAGAGTCTGGTCCAAACTAAAGGTTAAATTAAGCACTTCTTAATTTTTTTTCAAGTTATACATTAAAGTGGTTGGATTTATTTTTATTTTTTGAAAACGCCAAGTAAAATCCCATTTCTGAGATAGAATCCTGCTTATCAGCAAACTGAATCTTTGATTTAAAATCATAATTTTCCATCAAATTTTAATGAAAGATATTCTTACTCCTTTGTATAGTGTTTATTTTGTCATTAACATTTTTATTCTCCTATATAGAGAGCATATGAGAATAAAGAGCATGGAAACCAAAAAGTGCATCAAACGATAGATGAAATGTGCTTCTTTCTTATTATTTAGTGTACGTTGACGGCCTCTTAGTTGCATGCCGAAGAAGTGAATGTCAAGCCCGAAGATTGAAATTTGTCATAGGTTATGTCATCAATTAATTTTGCCATATCCTTTGTCAAATAATTTTTCCAATCACCAATTTCTCCTTTACGGAAAAATACAGTATTACTAATTTCTTGAGTAGTTTCTGGTCGATGCATCCCACTCTTATTCACCTCTAAATTACTCAAACTTTCAAAGTCACAACGTGCCACAATTTCTTGAGGCACACCTAGATCTTGTTCCTCCTTAGAGAAGGGTTTGTCCATGAATTCGGCCAACTTTTTCACATAACCCAATGTGTCCTCCTTCAAATCTTCATAGTTGAGGAAGAATACTCTGTCAGGTCTCTCAACACTTGCTTTCCAATATCCCAACACGTGATCCCAATAAGGCCCATATCCAGATTTTCCTTGGCAAAACATATTGAACATGGATTCTTCATCGAGTGTGACTAGGGGTGTTTTAGTAATTTTCGCTTCGATCTTTTGTATAAAATGCCACCAAGAAACAAATGTATCTTTAGGTTCTCTAGATATGTAAATGATCTTGCAATTATGTGATACAGATTTGGGTAAGATGGTGTAAGGAAGATGTGTGGCTAATAATGACAACCCTACTGTATCTAAAATTTTTGGATTGGAGAGAAAATCAACTTCCAAAAAGGGTATGCAATCATGGGGTACCTTAGTGAGTAAAGGGTTATTTGCAAAATCATCATCATGTCTAGTGATAATGGAAAAAGTTAAGGCTTTAAGCCAAGTAGTACCTGTTTTTGGAGCACTACATAGGAAAATATCAGAGGGTTGAGGATTGAAGCTTTGTTGCATACATAAAGCTGCTTCTAAATAGCCTGAATAGTACCAAAAGCCTTCATATTGATAGAAATCATAAAGAGGATGATGAGGCATTCGTTTGGGAAGAGTTGATATCATCTCTTTATATTTTTTTTCGCATTTCATTGAAATTTTCTGATCCATAATTTCCACATAAGCGGCCTACTTTGGAAGAGAAACTCATTTTTTGGAGACTGCCAAAATGATAATAAAAATAGGAGACTACTTCTTTATTTTATTTTATTGATATAAGAGGGAGAAATTTGTCAGTGTATTGCAAGTAAGTCCTTTACTCATTAATAAATGACTTTCAAGTCATTACAGAAAAGTTAGTTTTTTAATCAACGGAAAAGGATCAAAATTACGTCTGAACTATATGAAATAGATCATTTATACCCTTCGTTACATTTTGGGATAAAAAATGTCCCTGCTGTTATCCTAAGAGACCACAAATACCCTCAAGAGTTAATACCCCAAATTTTTGTTGACGTGACAAGCCACATGAGACTAATCCTTCCACCTAAGCGTTGCCAACTAGGATTCACTACAAAAGAACTAGACCTTTAGCGGCAACAACAGTCGCCACAAAAGCCCAGAAAATCGTCACTAAAAGTTTTTAACATTAAATTCTAATTTTGTGTTTTTTTCTTCATTGTTTTTAAAAAACCAAATATGATATCGATTAAGTAGGAGTTTGAAGACACTATATGTTTTATTTTTATGTCATATGTAAATGTATAAAATGTACAATGATGCATTATATATATATAGTAGGAGATTTGAATCGAGAAGTAATTTTGATTATTTTTCGTAATAATATTGGATTTTTTAATATGGATATTGCAAGTTATTTATTTTAAAAATTAGGTCGCAATCGAAAATTAATTATCATATATTTTTGTTGAAAAAATAGGTCTTACTAGCGAATGGTTGTTGGAGCCTTAGTCGCCACTAAAAATCACTCATAACCTTTAGTGGCAATATTTTGGGATTTTGTGGCGACTTTGTCGACACTAAAAGTCAAGTTCTTTTGTAGTGAATCTTAGTTGGCAATGCTTAGGTGGAGAGATTAGTCCCATGTGGCTTGCCACGTCACTAAAAAATTGGGGTGTTAACTCTTGAGGGTATTTGTGGTCTCCTGGAATAACTGCGGGGGTATTTTTGATCCCAAAATGTAATGAAGGGTATAAGTGGTCTATTTCGCATAATTTAGGGACAATTTTGACCCTTTTCCGTTTAATCAATTCTAAAAATAATTAGTATTAGCAATACATTTTATTCCTATGGAATTGGTATGAGCCCATAATTCAATTTTATTTCATATCATAATTTCATATAGCATGTCCAAACCACTTGACCATTGATTCCTCATCGAGTGTAGCTATAGATACTTTACTACTTTTAGCTTCAATTTTTATACATAACATGAAAAAGTCTATTAAATAAAAAATAATGTATTAATATACAAAACTAATATCTACATTATATATTTGTTAATATATGATACCAAGCGATCCCATTTACGGAGATTATCAACTAGATATCTCAAACACAATATTTTCGGTTTCAATTTATATAATATCTTCGTTTTTCAAGAGTCAAAGAATTTAAGTTTGATCGGTAATTTGCAGGTGGATTCTTCAGTTTAAAAAAATAATAATTATATATTTAGAAACTACGTAAAAAGTATTATAAGTCACAATAATTGATAATTCAAAATGATTAAAAAGATTTATAAAAAACTTAACGGTTAAAAACAAAGGGAAAAGGGTCTGATATACCCCTCAACTTTGCCATTTAGAGCTGATATACCCCTCGTTATGAAAGTGGCTCATATATACCCCTACTTGTATACAAATGACTCACATATACCCTTTTCCTCTAACGGAAATGAAAAAAAAATAATTTTAGTTTAATTTTTTATTATTTAAAAAAATTATATATATATATATAATCCCATATGAGTATATTTAATCCTCCTCAAACATATTTTTTTTTACTTTTTTTTGTTTCAATGACTAATTTAGATTTATTATTTTGATAGTCAAATTTATTTATGTTTCACTTGTAAAACTTATTATAGATGACCAAATTTTTTTCTTCAAATACAAAAATCAAATTACATTATACACAAAAAAAAAATAGTTTTAAATTTTTTTCTTTACACTAAGGAATGAAAGAAAAAAATAAAATAAGAATAAGAAACTCAAATAATTATAATCAAAGAAGTCAAAAAATAATTTATGTATGCAAAAGATTAAAATATACCTTGAACTTTGCTAGAAGAATCATATATACTCCTCAATAATTTTTAAGAAAGTTAAAAGTCAAAAATATAAATTTTAAATTATTTTTTTCACTTCCGTTAAATGAAGGGTATATGTGAGCTCATTTTATAATGATAGGGGTATATGTGAACCGTTTGTATAACAGTAAGAATATATAAGAGTCACTTTGATAACAAGGATATATTAGCTCCAAATGACAAAGTTGAGGGATATATCAAAACCTTTTTTCCCAAAAACAAATAAATTTGTTTAAACTTCGAAATTTGAAAAATAACGTATAAAATAGGACAGAGGAGTACAATTTTAAAATAATGGGCAAATTACAGAAATCAAATACTTTTAAGGCAAAATTACAATCTATCCCTTAAAAGTTTATAATTACAAAATCCCTCAAACGGATACAATAATATAAGTGCTGATACATTAATCTGATGCGCGAGATACAATAATATAAGCGTTGATACATTGATCTGATCCGCGAGATATATTAATCGTTAAGTAAGATACATTACATTTTATATATGATACACTAATCTGATGTGCGAGATACACTAATCTGATGTGTAAAAATAAAGAATTTTCGAGATTTATCAAATTTATAGGAGATAATAGTAATAAGTAAATTAAAATGTGGATTTCTCTAATTTTTCCTAAAATAATTGAATAGGGCGTATGGACAAAGTTGTCAGCTATCGGCCCACAGTCATCAAGGAAAAGGGTCTCAGTACTGTTTTTTAATAGTCACGATTTTATTGCCTCACGGAAGAAGAGTTGCAATGGGGGGCTATGCCTAACCCTTTGTTACAAGGGGGCCACAACTTAAAAGTTAAAATATATGCGGGAAAATTACATAAATGAGTCATAAGTTAAAATAATTACATGTTTATATCTCAATTCAAATTAATTCAAGAATAGTCATTTTTTTTCAAACAAAAATTTCAGTCCATATCCCCATTTATTAATATTGATAATTTTCGCTTGACTGATACTAAATCAGTATATATATATATTGGTGTTACTAAGATTGATAATTTTATTTAATTGATGTTAAATTAGTATATATATATCGTATTGATGTCATTAAAGTTTCTTGTTCATTAATTTTTGAACAAGAAATCTCAAAAATTTCTTTGGTATTGATATGATTTTAGTTCGAGTATTATACAAGTCTATTTTTTACCGTAGTTTTCTTATGTATGTTTTATATATTTTGAAATTATCAATTATTGTGACTTATAGTACTTTACATATTTTACAAATATATAAATTTCATTTTAAAATATTTAAATATTCCATAATCAAATTGCTAGTCAAATTTAAAATGTTTTACTTTCGAAAAATGAAACGTGTAACATAAATTAGAATAGAAAAAATATTATTTTTAAGAGCAACTTTCACATATAGCAAACACAAAATTCATATTTGTATGCTATAACAAAGTTTGCATAATTGCGCTCCATAGCAACATATATTTGTATAATTCGCTATACATATACAAAAAAAAACAGTTGTATAATCTGCTTTGGTATACATATACAAAAAGATCAATTGTATAAAGTGAGAGAAGCGAGTGAGCATACGAGATCTGGGAGAGTGGCGAGCGAGATCTGGGAGAGGGGAACGAAAATATATGTATATATACAATTTTCACGCATATTATACATTTGTGTTTTTGTATAAAGTGAGAGAGCGAGATCTGGGAGAGTGGCGAGCGAGATCTGGGAGAGGGGAGAGGGGAGAAAGGGGAACGAAAATATATGTATATATACAATTTTCTCTCGCTTTATACAAACACAAACACATTTTATACAATTTGCGTTTTTTGTATAAAGTGAGAGAGGGGAGTGAGAGAGCGAGATCTGGGAGAGTGGCGAGCGAGATCTGGGAGAGTTGCGAGCGAGATCTGGGAGAGGGGAACGAAAATATATGTATATATACAATTTTCTCTCGCTTTATACAAACACAAATGCACTTTATACACTTGCGTTTGTATAAAAAACGAGAGAGGCAAGGGAGAGAACGAGAGTGGCGAGCGAGATTCACCAGGAGAGATGTGAAATAGCAACAATTTGCTAGGAGGTACAATTAAATCAAACTATATTTATAACATTTAATTTGAATTAATAGTTTGTTATTATATACAATTTCCCTATTTTTAATCTATATTAAGTGAATTGTTAAAATATGACATATCTTTAAGAAATATTTAAAGATATAAATCAAAAACTACTTTTCATTATTACATATTTTTACCATTTCTACAAATACTAGATATGGGATCCCGTGCCAGCACGGGGCCCAATATATGTTACTGTTTTTGTTTTAATTTCTATTGTACATATGAAATTTGAAGTTAATTAATTTTTTAGTATGTTTTTATATATTTTAAGTTGCTAATTATTTTTATTTAGAGTATGTTTTACGTAAATATATTATAAATTACAATATTTAACAAGTTAATATAAAAAAAACTTATAAAAAATTCATTGACTTTTGAAATTTCATTTGTATCACATAAATCAGGACAAAGCGAGTAATATATATGAAAATTACATAAAACGTACTATAACTCACTATAATTAGCAACTTAAAATATCTATATATCTATATTTCTCCCAATTTATGCGGTATAGATGAAATTTTGAAAGTTAACAAAAACTTTTTATATGTTTTCAAATATTTTAAGTTATTAATTATTATGATTTATAATACTTTTTGCATAAAAAAATTATTTATATAAAGTATAAAAGAATTTTTTTTTAAAAAAAGAAACATAAATGTCAACAGGAGTCCAAACTATGTTAATTTCTA